AGAGTAGAAGTGGTCCCAGCAGGTACTACTGCTGGTGGTGGAGGTGGAGGTGGTGGTGGTGGTGGTGACACTGGTGCTGTTGGTGCTACTGGTACAGGAGCAGCAGCTACGACAGCAGGCGAGTCATCTTTGAAGTCATTAAATGCTCCCACATCTGACTGATTTTCCGTAATAATGCACACAAGCTGTATGGCAAAGAGGAGTCGATTTGTACAAAAACACCTAGTCAAACACAACTTTAATAAATTCCCCAAAAAGCTCATCACTGTAAAACGATTACAATTTACCTTTCCAACTGGCACATCTTTAGTGCCTGCTGAAACAAGAATCTTTGCCAGATAGCCCTCCTCAGGTGTTTCAAAACCCATTGTGGCTTTATCCGTTTCAATTTCTGCTAATAAATCTCCTTCATTCAACTTGTCTCCTGAAAATAGTAACAATAATAGTGATGATAAATTCTATTAATATTATAAATATCCATTATCTCAGGGTAGTAACAATAATTTTCACTACCTTTCTATATTTGTCCCTTGAAATGATTACCACAACCTTCCAAAAATGAAATTCCAAAATGGGCCTCATTAGTTTGTTCTTATACAAAATTAAATTATGAACATGCTCACATTTTTGTTGGGTGGGGGAGGGAGAACTCTTACATCAAAGTAGAAATTGTAGTTTATCTAATTCATAAATTAAATGCTGCATGTGAACTGAAGTTCTGAATATGATAATTACTGGGAATATTTTAAGCAACTCTTAGATAATGTCTTATGATGGTACACAATGTACTTGCCTTCCTTTTTTTCCCAACTGACAATAGAGCCCACCTCCATAGTTGGTGACAATGCCGGTAGTGCTACTTTTGTGTGTGGAGGCAAATCAGGACTATAATAACACTTCTGTGTAATGCCCCACCTCCATGATATAATATTTTTTTCAAGTAAGGAGTTTCCATACCTGTAACAACAATGTTATACTTCCAGGCAAGTACAGATTCTTCATCAATAATTAAAAGACTAACAGAAACAATGTTACCAACTTTTACAACAAGAATGTTATTGCTGTGACCAATGGCTCTATTTACAGTTCCTGGACCAGACTGATTCTACAGACCAGGCACTATAAGGATAATTAGATGAGTGGAAATAAAGAGAATGTTAACACTGATGGAGACCTACTGATTAAAGTGGAATTGAGAATACAGTGATGTGAACTACATTCACATATGAACTATGGCTGATATCCGGGAAGAACATAACAGAAAAGTCCATACTGAATTTGTTCATTCTTAAACCATTAACCATGACTCTTAGACTATCAGGTCTGCTACTAGAAGAGGAGATCTTAATATCAGGAAGCTAGATATAAATGTTTCGATACAACACATTGCCTCTGTTTGGGCCCTGTAGCTGGAGGCAGAACGTTGGTATCTATCTACAAATCTGCATGATGCTGCAGCTCAACAGGCAAACACAGATCTCTTATGTTGGTGGAATAAATAATTTTCTTACAGCTAAGTCAGGCTGAAAGCAAATGTTACTGGTCAACTGGGAGCTTTTTGTTGGACTTACAATTGCTATTTAAAATTTAGAACCTGACTGGTCTGACACACAATTCACTTGTAACTTACTGAAATCATGAACTTGAATTTGGTTTGTATGTATGTTGAAGACAAGCACTGGACTGTGTGAGATTTCTGGTTGTCACAGAAGTGAGTATGAAGATGGCTGTCTCCTGAGTTGTGTTGTGTGGTCTGATAGAAGTTTAGTGACGTTTCAAATATGCTTGCTGCCTCCATCATCAGGGCACAAAACAAGAGTCGCTGCCAATATTCAGAATGTGACAAAGATTGCTACATGAATGCAAAAATATTTCTTCAATGACTTATCCCAGACGTATAAAACGACCCTTCTCTATTTTATCCTACCAAGTATCTGCAAACAATTTTGTATTGCCTCCTCAAAAAGCGTACTTCTAGTCTATAACACCTCAGGACGCATAAGGAATCACTTGACTTCAAATGTTTTACACTAAACCATAAATTTCATGAAGTGGCCTTTGTGCTACTTTTAAATACCAATTCAAATTTAAATAAAAGATTACCTGTGGAGATGTTTTCTCCTAACACATTCGACACCTAAACATCTGACTACATTTATTCGTATAGCTTTAGTAACAGTTAATTTCAAGATATCATTTCGCCAGATAGTCGTTCGCAGCATTGTTCGTTTTTATCTTAAATAAAATGTATGTAATGTCCCTGTTTTCTTGGATATTAGACTTTACAACTTTCAATCTGTTCAGAGCATAACCTACACCACTTTGCCAGAAGGGCTGAAAGGACACATTGGGAATAACGTGGTGGAAATAAGTACGGTGTGTTCATGCCGTATATGACCTAGGTCATGCATAATTGATGTGATGTAAAGCGTGATCATCTTTCTCTGCACTTCACAGCTCGAGAACGGATAAAGAGATGCTAATCAAATAATAGAGTTATTCTACTATAAATAGTCGAGATATTTAAATATGCTTTTAGGCTGGACAATTTTAACGACCACTTTGCTCAAGAACATACAACATTTTGAGCTTTTCGCAAATACTTGCTGAAAATTTGCGTAAACTGATATTTTTTAATTACTTGGTCTGTTGAAAAACAAATTGCATAAATTTATTTTAGGTACTTCTATAAACATTCACTTTTAGTGTTATTTAATTAAAATTGATCATTATGATCACAAATGACGTCTGGGCAGTTGTTCTAAGTTTCTTCTACTATTTGGCAAACCTAACTTTCTCACACCAAGAGATAATGGGGTCAACATCATGATTTTCGAGTATGGCAAGATTTAATTGAGAGCTTTCAATCAATATCAATCAACTGTTATTTCCAATACTGTATAATTTAAGTAACGATGTATATTCTGTTAAATGACCATAGGTAACCATATTGTTTCTTGGTCTCTGCCAAACTGGGTACGTCATCGTCCAACTATCACGTCATTTAATTGACTCATGCAACACACCCTAAGGATATAGGACTGAAAGGAAGGCAGTGTTGGATGTGGTTAGTTGAGTGCGTGTTGGTTTTTCATTAATAGTTACGCACAGTTTTGAGCAAATTAAGTAAATGTCTGCTAATTAACATATCTGTAACGTTATGTCTGATTTATCATTAGTTACTAGATTTGTTGTATAAACTGTGTTGTGTTCGAACTTTGAAGCAGAAATGTCACTAATAGCATTTAGTGGACTGAAACGTAGAACTGAAAATTGGTATTATAGAAAATATAGAAGTAATGAATGTATACCATCGGAGTTACTATCGATAAACTGGATGTTGGTGCTACTCATTTTATGGTTTTCTGGCCAGGTATGTGCTCTTTTTCGGTAAATATGCAGCATTTGTATTGCTGATGTACGCCATATTTCAGTGTTATTGTTGTGTCCACACCCTACGACAATTAATAGACAATACAGGTGATAATTACAAATGTGTAACAGTGTAGATTTTATTGTAGTGAATATGCGACAGATGATTATTTAAAAATAAAAATTTGTGATTCCCCGTTGTCGTCAACCAATTTGTCGTCAAAGAATGACGTCATCAACAATGTCAACTATAAACAAACTCGGCATTGTTGTGTTCCACAACAATGCCGAGTTTAGTGTCTTACTCAAGATTTTAAAACGCAACCAACCCCCCCGAAGGGTTTGGTTGCTTTTTAAACACTTGATCAAGCTCCCCCGAAAGGGGGTTGGTCAAGTATTTTAACCCTCCATTCGGGGGGTTTAGTTTAGTTTCTTACACAAGATTTTAAAACTTTTTAAAAACTTGACCAACCCCTCCGAGGAGCTCCGAAAGGAGCGTTCTGCCCTAGTTATTTAAAAATGTGAACCATTTAGTTGTAAAAGAGTGTTTTGGATTCAACATCATGGGGTTATGTTACTAATTTTGGTGGTTGACTAATCTGGGTTGGCGTAACGATATTATTGTATCAAAATCACTGTAAGGTAATTAGTGTGTTCCCTAACGTCAATACAATCTTTATAAAAAATTTGTGTTTGGTAAATTAGTCTGTTGGCAAACTGTAACTTTGCTGCTATTTATGAAGTATAAAAAAGTAATTTACTCTACATAATGGTCCTCTTAGCAAATCTTTTGTGATAATGTAGGTTCGTACTCTTCACTTCTACTATGGCATCCTTCATATAAGTGAACTTAAATAGTGATTAATACTGTGGCAATAACCTTTGCCCTCTCAGGTTAACCCTAGTTGACCCAAGTTAGGTTGTCACAGTGACCGTTTATTTGCTTTCTAGATGCAAGAAATATATATTGATACTGAACAGGCATGCCACATCAGACTCAAAGGTTCACTCCACCAATATAAAGACCTTCCATTACTCTGTATTTTAGTCGACGTGCAGCCCAATTCATAATTGACTCAGTGGAGCAGTTTTCCTTGGGGATCTGATAGTGCGCTCAGTTAAGTCGAGAAATTCCCTGCCTTTTATAGAGCCTGATGGTTGATTACTGATTTCTCAAGAGACTGTCACTGGTCCCTGTCGTGTACCAAATGAATCTATTTGAGGCCAGTGGGTGGAAGAAAAGGGACTAATAACAACCACAGCTCCCTCTCTTAACAAACCCAGTTGCTATTCCAAATTATCCCAAGGAAACACACTTTACAGAAATCAGTAAACACAACTGTAATAGAACCCAGTGCACGTAGATTGAATGAACAAGATAAACATACAAATAGCAGACATCTGTAGCACTCAGTAGGTCCTAGTGATTACATCCATGTTTACTGACATTTGGTGTAAATTTATGTCAAATAACTTTCATATGGCCAACAGTGACCTTTTCTAATACATAATGATAAAATAAAGTACCATGTATTCTAAGAAATACTGAATAAAATTGGGTGAGGCCTGGTTGCCCAATTAAGACAACAGGAAAGCACGAGGTGAGCACGAGACCAAACTAGGACAACATAATTAAATTTAGAATCATGAACTAAAATATAATTTGAACCAAGTGAACTCACTTTCCAGGCTGACCCAAAGTCCAACATGAACAGGTCTTTCAGTACATATTATGGAGCTCCATTTTCTTTTTTTTTAAAGTTTTCTCCAGTATCTGTTCTTTCCTTCACAATTGAGCCCAATCATTCCATAAACATTAGTGTTAAATACTTAAGTTATTTATATATTAACCTACCGTCTTGGATTCCTAAGTGGCTCCATATGAGTTTTCCCAACCATATATTTTATATTTCCCCATCTTAGCTACATGTTTCATGTTATGTGTTTAAAGATTTTCGTTACTATACCATACCTCAAATCATTAAAGAACATTATAAGAGCTGTTTATGTGTTGTAATTATTATATTTCTACCATTAATAGTAGATAGTGCCTAACTGCCCTTTGTGTAGGCATATGATCTCTGTTGTATACAGAATGATACACAGTTGGATTGACCATGATCTGGGAAAGGACTTTGGTCATAGCAAGTTTACTTTGTATTTTAACATTTATGATTTGTATGTTTCTGGAATCAGATTATTCTGGACGTCTGTTAGAACAGGTGTTAGGTGAAAAAGAACAGATAACACAGTTTGTTTGTTGATAAAAAGGTATTTGAAGATTATTGAAGACCAAAGTTTAATTATTGGTATTGTTTGTAGACTATAGCCTTAATTGACAGGATGATTGTTAGATAAGGGATTCAAAGAGATATGGAAGGAAATGGCCACAGCCTATTTTAATTTGCTATCTAGGCATTTGTTTAAAGGGGTTGAGGTAAAGTACAACTTGAACTTGGGTTAGGATGACTGGTCTTGGGAGCCAAGATTGAAACCTGGTACTTCCTAAATGTGAAGCAGGAGTGTTAACTACTCATCTGTGTCATTTGTGAAATGTTACTTAGAAGTCAGGAATAAGTCATGTGGCTTGGTATAGCTGTCAAAAGAACTGTTGGTGAATGTGGAATTTCTGTCACCAACTTATATTTACTTCTTTCAAAAATATTTATTTAAAAGCAAATAGATGGTGTATGAAAATGTTCTAATCGCTCACATCATCTTTATCTATTGTTCCTGTGTTTAGATCCTTTAATGTGAATTGTAATTACATTATTTTTAAAGTCTGTTAACACACAAAATGTCAATCATACATGAAGTGGCACAATTGTTATAGATTCAGCTGTCTCATGTTAGGGTCCAGTGGCTCTTGTAAATTCAACGATGCATTTTCAGGTTCCATAAATACTGGAGAAATTCTAGTTCAACTGAGCACCTGTCTAAATGCCAAGCCGATTCTTCTAAATGAAGTTTTCTTCTGTGACATGTCACAGAAGGAACTGTATATGCTATTTTGTTATTGAATTTGGTAAATATTCTGAAATTAGGTTTAGATATGTTTCTTGAAGTGTCATAACTACAAGATACATGTTTAATGTTTGGCACTACCCCCGCTGTCTTTTTCCATGGATAAGCCATTGTTCAGGACAGGTGAAGTATTAAAGCTATATGCAGCACAAACATGAAGAAGCTGTTTTATTTTGCTGTGATTTCTCATAACTGTGTGGATGGTATCTTGTATACTTCATGATAGCATGTGAGTGACTCATGGCAAAGTGATGGAGACAATTTGTTGCAGTTGTCATTTAGTTGCTCACTGTTGGGTATTGTGACTGAACCACTAAAGGTTTGCATTTATGTTTCGTAATGTAACACATTGCATGTGTAAACTAATGCCAAATTTTCAGTTCCTCCAGTTGCCCCTGTTGAGAGAATTAATACATAAAGCTCTGTCATTTCTGACATCGCTTTGGTTGTTTAAGAAGAGTAAATTTAGTTTGTCCTTTGTGATATTAATTGTAATATCTGAATTACAGGATGAAGCATGGGGATATTTTAGTTCTTTTGATGCAGGTGTGCTGGTGTTTTTGAGTTCATTATTACACTGCCCATGTTCTGTGTGAATTGTGTGTACATTGCATTCACAATCACTTTGTACTGAGGCTTATATTTGGACAGAGCTCAATGTCCTTGTCTCCTTATTTATACATTAATGATAGGGACTAAGCAAGTTGGCTGAAGTGGTAACCCACCTTACTTATATTCACAGAGCTTTACTAACCTGCATAGTTAATATGTGTGTTTATTAAATGACTTACAGATCTTATTGACAGTGCACACCTGTAATTGTGTCATCAGATCATGTAATGTGTTTTATGTTTATTAGGTTTGGTTTGGTTTTGTTTGGTTTTGTTACCTTTGTCTTATTGTACACATCTGTTAAAATGTGTTACTAAGAGAGGTTACATCCTTTGTAGCAGCAAACCTGTATAAAAATTCAAGGATTCCTAAATCCTGATGCTGCTTGAAGTGAATCTCTGAGGATTCTATCTCTTTCACTTGTAGGGTATCATTTCTTAAAGCAATGTATGATCTGTTTGTGAATTGTGTGTATTGGTTACAGTGTGCCAATTCAGAAGAATATCATTGTATGTGGTATGGCCAATGCAATATGGATGCTTTTGGGAGGTATCAAAATTGTCCATATGAAGGTTCAGCAAAAGAATTGGAGGTTGATGGTCAGAAATACCTTAAAAAGTGGTGCCCCCATTTTTTTGAGGGAGAAGGTGAGTTAAAATTCATTCCAATATTATAACCCCAACTCTAGAAATACGGATAAAAACAAAGTGAAACATCTGGCTGTAGTTTTTTAAAAGAATCCTATCCAATAAATAGGCTCTTTTGAAGTCTGTTAGCATGAAGTATGTAGCATCTGAATACCATATGAGGTTTGAGGTTCTAATTGCAGTGAAAATGTTGATTTTGGTTTTCTGGATGATTTTGTGTAGGTGGTTACCAACATTTTGAAGGAATGCATTCCCTCAATTGTTGGGTTAGAAGAAGACACTACATTCCTCAGAAAAGTCGATGGCCTCCTGCAAGACTGTTGCAGCCCATATCATAATTCTTATTTATTCAAACATTTTCCTTTACAGTTTTATTTTCATTGTGTAATGTTCCTGTCTTTAGTTTAGCATCAAGTGTGGAGGTATGAAAATGTACATGCAGCACTAAAATTAGTATATTAAGCAGTAGCCATACATGTGCTTGATCTTCAGACTCCAGTGATACATGACATTCTTATTTTTAGTGCCTGTAATGAAAACTTGCTGTGATACAAAACAGTTGAAGACTATGGATCAGAATATTCTATTGGCAGCAGCTTTTCTGCAACGATGCCCATCATGCTTGCACAATCTTGTTAGGCACATCTGTGATTTTACATGTGCAGTTGATCAGAGTAGATTTATCAATGTGACAGATGTGGAGCACAATGATGACACAGGTTGGTAGCTTCTTGACTTTCTGCTGTTTTGTATTTTTAGTAAGCCATGTTACATATTTAAGGATAAATATAAATTTGCAGTTTTGGATTCCCAGTTTTAATAGACCTAAGTTCTTGAGATTATTGCATTGAATCAGACCAGCTGTTGAGGTTAAGTTACGTTTGATTGTTCTAGTAAAATTAGAAAGTGTGAAATAGAAGTTTTGTGACAGCTGTGAAGTTAATGATTTAGCAGAACTCTGCAAATAAGTGTGATTGAATTAGATACTTTAATGAAGAAAATTGTATAATTTTTGAGGTATCATTAAACTAGATTAACTTTGTAACATATGAATGTTCATGAAGTTTCATTTGATTTTGTTAGAAAAGTACAGATATAGCTGGCGCACATGTCTGCTGCAGCATGCACAATGTACACAATACTGGATGGGTGGATTGGAATAATTTTCCGGTTTTAAATAATTTTAAGTTTCTAGCAGTTACAAACCATCATTGCCTTCTTCTTTCAAAACATGAGGGACATAAATTTTACAATTACTACATGGTCAGTCTCTCTTTAGTCACAGTGCTGTTGCATGTCATTTGGCACATGTTGTATTTAGTTGAGGTTTTCAGTCTCACTCCTTTGTTTTATTTTAAACAGGTAAAGACTATGTTAATGGCATAGAAGTATACATAGGAGATAATTATATGAATGGCACATATGATTCTTGCAAGCAAGTGTCAGTGCCATCAACAAGTCGTCTGGCCCTTGATTTGATGTGTGGAGAGTGGGGTGCAAGTCGCTGTTCACCAAAGAAGTAAGTAAAAAAAAAAATTAAAGTACTTTGTGTGTGTGTGTGTGTGGGGGGGGGGGAGTCTGTTCCATAAAAGAAGGAATGTAATCATAAAAGTGTTGTCTCACATATTTGTGCTTTGCTTTTTCCAGAGATGGCCAGGTACTGTTACCTGTACTAACTTGATAAAGTGACAGTATTCCAGAACTGGCAGCTGAGAACAGTAGTTTCAGTGTAGTTTTGGTTATACTGCCATCTTCCTTAAATTAATATTAAACTGTAGTTTTGTTTGATTTTTAGTTTGTTACATATGTTTCTATACCATCAGTGTAGTAAGGTGGTTTGGATTATATTCTTACATTTACACGGTACCAAGTACAACTGATTCACATGCATGCACAAAAACATGTCAGGGACTTCCTTAGCCACATGAGATGAATGGAGTCACATGTGTGCTAATTTCACATTTGTCCATGAACTGCTGTGTGTATGTATACAAAATTGTGTGATAAATTATAAACAGAAATTTGGATTTTTCACATATTACACTTGTATGTGGGAGAGATGTCACTTTTGATGTAAAATTTTTAAATTTAAAATTGTTCTTGGCTTTCAAATAGCTTTTCATATATAACTATTCTTCAGAGGTTAGACTCCCACCATATTTGGCTCTCTCTTCCTTGATCTTATAGGCCCTAGTTTGATATGTAAACATTTAATTTGCTATTTATATTAATCTTAGCTGCACTTAGATTTTGTATTTTATTTCCCTTCATAAGAAGTTCAGTTCGATGTGAGAAACAATGTTGTGTAATGGGTTTGTCATGAGTGTATCTTGTTGAAATGTTCATGTCATGCAGGTAATTGTTTGTTTGCAGCATGTTATTGTGTGTCCTTGCAAAACAAAAGTTTCATGTATTGTATCTTCAGCATCCAGGCGTGAAATTTCTATTATTAGGGTTTGAGCTTTTTATTCACTATGTTCTATCATTGAAATTATATATCCTTCTGAGTACAGTGAGCCTCATTCATAGATTTTCCAACATGGACTGTTGTTACCTTTGAATTTTGTTTCTTGTTCATATTGGACAGCATTGAAATTTTACATTCCTGTCAGGTTTCTGAGAGTTATTGTAGCAGATAGACATAGTTATTGTGCGTTCAGGAAAGCTTAATCATACGCATTATATTAGCTTCTCATTTGCAAAAGACAGAAGTATCAGTTAAATTTATGAAGATTTTGTCTGTGTTTTGATGTCCCATAATATAGAAAGCTGTGTACAGTAAGATTAGAATTATAGCATTGGTTTACAATCTGTTGAATCATTGGTAAATTATTATAATACAATAGTGTGTGTGCGAGTGCACACACACACACACACAATTCCTTCCAGTGCTCCTTTAAAGAGGTTGCATACAGAACCTTCTTTTGATCCTCTCTGAGTGAACAACCTTTTCTTCCGTCTTTGTGCATTTATCTCAAGTGTGTTTTGTTTTCTACTTTCCTTATTACTTTTCCAGCTTTTATGTGTTTTTTCACTAGGTGGTTCACATACATGGGAGAAGCTGAAGGCAATCCGTTTGTCCCATTCCAGATTACTTACATTGAAACAAACAAAACACTAGATAAGTATGTCCCATTGAACCCATCAATAACACCATGTAGCAAAGGAATAAGCGTAAGTAATAATTTAGTAATTTATTTTGATTAAGATACTTTAAGCAGGCCTTAGTATTCATACTGTGTAGGTGCCAAAGGCTTGTGCTATGAAGGTGACTGACTGCACCTCAACATATGTAGAGTTTTATCTGAACTAGCCATATTCATTTGTGACACTTGCTTAATCACCTTACCTTGTGGACACCACCTCCAAAATTGAGTTGCATCTCTATAACGCTTGTATATTGGCTGTGATATTTGCAAGTCAATAATTATGCCAATGAAAACTTACCATACTTTTGTGATTGAAAACAATACTTTTAGAAGATATACACACAGGAAACTTGTGTCCAGAATTTGTTGAACCCTTCTTTAAGGTGGCATCAATGATTAGAAGCTACTGAGAATTGTTTGCAATTTTGATTTCATGTTCATGGTTTATATACAAGGTGTAATCCTTTAGAACCCTAAAATGTGCTAAACCAGTGGAGCAGTAATCTGTTCTAATTGTTCTGTGTCCATTGTCAATCTCCATGATGATTCTTTTTGTTGAAAGTTTGTTTTATTTCTCCAGCCAGCTGTGCCTGCCTGTAGTTGTGTGGATTGTGAAGCAAGTTGTCCTACTCCGCCACCAGAACCTGAGCCACCAAAACCATTTACCATATTTGGCTTGGATGGTGTTTCAGTCGTGATGGCCATAATTTGGTTTGTGGGATCACTAGTGTTCCTCACAGTTGTGTTCTGCTGTTGTGACAATGACAACACCATAGGTAATATTCCAGTTTCTTGGATTAGCATGAAAGCCTTTCAGTTATTTTAGAGTAGTGTTTAAAGAATGTATAATTTGTTGTAGATATCACCGAAAGTTTGTTGATTGGTCAGTATTGTAATATGCATTTATATGTTACTAATTACAGTTTCAGCTTTTATTTTATTTAGGCTTGCTTTCATTTGTAAGAGACAGAAAAATATTTTACAATTAGTATGGAATTTTCACATATGGAAATATTGAAAGACAGGCACTTGACATAAATTCTCTTTCTTGTTCTTTGCCATCATGTATGCAGTAAAATCTCCATTTTTTAAATTAGGTTCACATTTTTTAATTTATTATGAGGGAGATTTGTTTACCATAGTACCTGTCTTGCCTGACCAGAGATTTTTTTGTGTGAAGACCTTTTATTTAGAAATATGATTTTTTTTAGTTACACTCTTTACTGTGTATGTTATGTTCTCTCTATCTTTTTGAGTTCAAAGATATAGTTTAGAGTTTAGTTTTTGTTTATCTGAATGATTATTTTCATAGAGGAAGTGCAATGGATTGGAATCAGTTTCAGGACCGTTGTGTTATTAATATTTCTTTCACACTCGGCAGTTCTGACATTACGTTTATCAGTGAATGCAGCCGCAGCTATTGTGAGCCTGCATGTCCTGTCACGCTTGCTAATGAATCAATAAATTTTAGGTTTGATTGTTAGTGTTCTCTTTTGCAATGGCAGAAGTTTTGCTTTAATTGTTATGCTTTATTACTAAATATATCATGCCCTGAAACTTTCCTGCCACTTTTCTTAGGTGTTCAGTCTGTTAGTTAAGCAGGATAATCATTATAATTGTTTTCAGTGTATAGAAGCTTTCGTAGTATATCATATGTTTGCTGCCTGGCATTGCCTGTCATTTACTACAGTAGTTTAAAATGTTCTTGAAGGGATGAGTGAGTACATTTATGTTAAATATTTACAAATACTGCTTTTACTAATATGAAAGTTTTTGTACTTTACACATCATACTTAATCCCTTGATTCGTCAGCATGGAAAAGATGGATCAGTAATTATTAAATGGAAAAAGTGAAGAGCTTTGAGTACTCAGGAAGTAAAATAGTGACAAAGCAGTATTAAAGAAGTTAATGAAAAGAATTTAAAAATTCAGGACAATTTTACCAATTAATGAGGGGCAATGTAGAGGCTGACCACAGACTGGATGGTTAGGGTTCAATCCCCAACAGTGGCAAGAGGATTTTTTCTCTAGCCCGTGTTTCCAGACTGTTTCTGGGGCTCACCCAGCCTCCTGTCCTGGATGTAAAGTGCAGCCAGGGCGTGATGCTGACCACTCACCCCTATCTAGTGTCAAGGTTAAGAATGAGTAGTAGCTGTACCACCTCTCCCCTCTTGCACAAGCCCTTATGCAGCATGTAGCACTGTAGGTCTACTTTACAAATTGCAGGACTGAGCTGGAGGGGCCCAAAGGATAAGCGTACTGCTTTTACAGAATGACGCAGGCTTCATAAATCTTTAAATGTGGTCAGTCTTTGGAAAATAAGCCGAAGAGACTAGTTACCAAGATACTTCTTTCTGTCTACATGTGATTTTGGGTTTATCAATGTGCACTTTTACCTTAAACTCACACAGCATAATTATATTTGTAATGTTATGCTGGCAGAACCATCCACTTGCAGAATCCAGGCACTGCTATTACTGTTGTTAGAGCTACCTACTGGCATTTGCTTTGAATTGCCTCAATCTCATGTGGAATAATCAAGTTTTTATTGTAGGATTTGAGGTTTGAGTTTTTATTGTATAGAGAGACATTTGTCTTCATTGTGGACAAGATAGTAGTGGATAATGGGTGTATGCAAATAAGTACATATTATAGTTTAAACAACTTTGATTCCTTCTGTTGTACCAAAATTGCCAGTCTTTTAGAATGTAGCATGCTGCAGCAAAGGTATGAAATCCTGACTACAAAGTTTTCCAGTTTGACCTTGGACTGATACAGTTGAGTAATCACATTAGATTGGTAGTGAGTACATGTGTCTGTGTCTCCAGCAGTCAGTTAGCCGCTCAGGCAATCAAAATATAGCTCTCTTCAAGCATATCTTATTCAGTATAATGAAATGAGATTGGGGTAGGCTGCAACATTCTTAGTGTTAATTTGGTATGGTTTAAAAGGTCATAGGTCATATACAGTCGAGTCATTATCTGACCTTAGGTTTTCCGACATTACGTTTTATCCAGTGTGCTGTGTTGGAGTGCTCCATTTTATCAACAGTCACTGTAGCATGTAGCAGAATGAATTACATTCCCCCACCACACCTTCTACATTTTATGTACTCAGTTGCTACAGACATACTACTGTTCTGGTGATGGCATGACCTTGCTGCAAAGAAAAGGAAGGAGGCTCAGGAGCATATACCTACTACTAATTGCTTAAAAGTATAAACTCTTTTTGTTTCCAGATTTACATTATGTTGAATACTGTTTTTATTTGTGAGATATTTTTCATTTGATGGCCACATTATATTTTCTTCATAATTTAATGTCATAAATTAAGTTGATGTTTACACTCAGCTTTTTCATCGATCTTCTGTTTTGTCCAGCATTTTTTATTATTCAGCTGTCCTTTGATTCCCTTAGGTCAGGTAATTGGCACTGTACTGTGTGTGAAAAGATCTTAGATAATTTTGTATAATGGTATTTTGAAATGTTACAGTCTGAAAATGTTCTTAATTTCTCCAGCATATGCACTGTTTATTAGTGTATGTTTGGTATTTTAACTGTGTAGAATTCCCAGCCTTAACTGCAAGTCCAAAATTGAATTTCCTTAAAAAGTTGTAATAACAGTGATGCACTCGTCTGCTGCGTATATACACGTATCATGTTCACTTGCCTTAACTTTGTGCATGGGGTTATATGTAACTAGATTTGATTCTCTCACATGGTACAGAAAGGCTGTGGACTTTTTTATCCGTTCTTAGAATTTCATTCGTAAGTTTACTAATATTTCACTTTAATGGTGCTGGCGTGAGAAAATGTTGGATTTTGTGTGTTCCAATTAAGTGGCAATCACACGTGTGCATAATAAAATTTGTGGCTTTTATTCCCGGATGTGGTAACATAGCTGACATAATGTACTTTCTATTTATTCTTATTGCATGGGTTGTTTTAATGGTGATAATCTTTCATTTGTGAGTTAACATAGTTTGAATGTCAGGGACCATTATCTTGAGGTTCTAACAATTTTCTTTCAACATTCCTCTTGGTTTAACATTCTGATTCACTGGAATAGTTAAGGAAATACAAAATCAGCATATAAAGAAATTATCTTATGTTTTTAACTTTGTAAAGTAATGTAGTCAAGTCTTACATAATGTAAAATAGATAAGTTAATACCAGTGAAGTGCAGTAGATTTTCATAAACTGTAAGCATATATTATTATACTGTATAGTGAAGAGGCTTGTACATTGCAGTCCAATCTCAGTATAATCTATAAACATTTTTTAACAGATTTAACCCATCGAGTAAACTTCAAATCGCAAAAAATAAAACATATACTATCATTTCAGCGTACTTTTATATGAACTGAAGACACCTGGAAGGATGTAACATAATATTTGTATTCTTTGATACCAGGGTTGGGGAATCATGAGAGACTTGTAGATTTTATAATTGTTTAAATATTAAGTTTGGAAGCATATGGACATGAAAGTAGGTTAGTAGCTGGAATAGGAATAAGATATAAGAGTACCCCTTGGGGGGAAATATACATGTTTGCAATGTATTTTATCTTTTAAAAGATGTGTAACTTGTTTTAGTTTTAAGTGCCTCACCAGTCATGCACTCCAAACAAACCTTCTCTTGTGATAGTTGCATATTTTGCTAAAATTCTACAACTTTAAAATAAAAGTTGATTTGTGGAGGAATGGAAATAATGGTTGTTAACAGTTTTAAAGTAGACATTGTCTGTCCTTTTTCTTCTTCATTATTTGGCTTTACATATTTATTTTATCTAAACAACAATTCTTTTCTGAATTCTGCAATATGTAAACTCAGTTCAGGAAATCAAAGTCTTTTTTGGATATTATTATCTTTCAGTACTAGCATGTCTTTCCTTTCTTCATACTTTACCATTTTTTAAAATTATATTTCATAATAATATTTATGTATAATTTTATAGTCTTTGCTTCACCAATCTGTTATCAGGAAACAAACACTTTGTTATAATGTCAATTATTGTCTAAAGATGTATTTTTAACCATTGCAAAACAAATGTGTTGCTACTGGTTGACATTATTACTTATAATGAATCTCATAGCTTAGACTTGTATATGTATTATTTGTGGTATTTTCAGACCTATTAGATGGTTCATCTCCTCTCACTTGGTTTTTGTTTTACCTGAAACAATTCATTTGCCATTATTTGTGTTCAGATTTAGATATTTGTGTCATTTGGTTTTGATTTGGCAAAATATCCTTGAACAAGAATATTTACTTGATATTTTATATTATAAATTATATATACAGTATAAAATTGTAGTAGTATATTACTGTTTTATGTTACGTGGTTTTGAGTTCATTATACTTTACTTCAGATAATGAACAGAACTTTGTTAATATGGATAAACATAATTAGTGATGCGCATGTACCATTTTTGCAAATGTTTTGTTTTATGTAAATAATGTTTTGAATGAATCTTCCTTAGATTATATAAACAACTTACTGTTAACAAATAACTGTAATTTTCTTATTCAACAAGAAAAAATGGATGCCAGTTACCTGCCACATTATTTTGCTGGTACAAATATATTATTGCAAAGCTTCACAATTCTGCTAGAGTTGGTACTTTGTTCAGTATTCAGCTTATAAAAATATTTCAAATAAAAGTTTTAGATCTTAATGAGATTGCATTTTCTGTACAATTTTTGTTTATAGTGTGAGCTGTTTCTGAAGAAAATTGTGCTTATTATAAAGTAGTTGGCATGTAGGAATAAAATTGTACTGATTTATCTGATCTGTTTCTACAAATTTTGTTGGAAATGTTTCACATCCATTGATATTGCCTTTAATTAATGTGGGCCTCTGAATTTAATGGCAACACTGATTAACTAATTCATCATTGTCTTCAGACTTATGTATTAGGATATCCAAAAACTCTAAATACAGTTTTTCATATACCATTTATTAGATTTTCTGGATCATACCAATGACTGTTGCTTTGTTCCCAAAAGATTGGAACTTTGATGACGAGCTTTTCCATTTGTCTTCCTTGAGTTCAAAGTATCTTAATGCATTTTTGCAGCAGAGTTGAGTTTTGTAGTACTTGTCCAGTGGTTGGAGAGTTGGAGATCTGTTCAGTTAGTCTGTTATATGAGAAGTTTCTCTTACAGCAAACCTGGTTCGGGGTGACAGAGCAGAAGAGATTAGACACACCGTTGGACGAAGACTGGCTGGTAGTAATCAGTCTCGGATTGCCCTTGGTGCAGATGAGGAAGAAAGTCCCTTGCAATCAAAAAGATCTAGTAGGTTTTGATTTTTTAGGTTCTGTGAAAAGTGTAACTGTTACAATTTATAGTTATGTTTGTAAATGTTATGCAAGCATTCCTAAAATTTAATGCTTTGATTTTGTGTACATAACTCTTCTGCAAGTGATTAACACTCTTGTTTCTCTGTTGTTGTTTATGTTAAAGGCTTTGTGTTATTCTTGTTGCTGTGCATGAAATCATGTGATGTATGTTCTGCTTTCTGGTGTCAGTTCCCTGTATGTTGAGAATGTGAGATGGGCAAAGTGTTTTTTGAAAAGGAATCAGTAGTTACATAGAGATGTTATCTTGATGTCCATGACTACATTTTTCCCTCTAATTTGTCACTGTACTAAGTTCTTTCTCTCACTCTAAACATGCCGTATTCTAAGCTTTTTTAACGTAACTGTCAAAGTGCACCAGCTTCATGAACACATAATTGATAGGAATTGATACTTGCATTTGAAGTTCATATTACATTTATTTATTTTGTTATCCTAAAACTTGGGTTATGCATTGTGTAAAACTGATTTCTAGCATATTATGACAAACTGATGTAAAACTCTGAATGCAGAGTACTTGTTTGCTTTATTAGCTTGCTGTATAGATTTCTCCCTTCTCTCAACAAAAAGAGAAAAGATTGTTGTAAGCATAGTATATTGAACTTAGCGCTTATATGCATTTCCTGTGTTTTTAAATAGGAGTTCTGCATTTATATTGGTGTGTTTCATATTGTACATTCTGCGGCCATGGTATGTCCTGTATTGTATGATTAATGGTGTCCTTATATGTAAATTTTTTGTCAGTCTTTTGGCCATAACGATTAAGCCTGGAAGTGTACAACTTCATTTTTGGTGCATTTTTGTCTTTGGTGTATGTTTATGTATTGAAGGAAGGACATTATTCCTTTACAAATGGAGCATTCTTCTTTTTATAGCTGTGCAGTAAATGAATCAATGCAATGAAAGTTCATTATATGAGATTGGTGACAGTTTTTTGCAACTCAGTGCATCAAGCACGTACTTATGTTTATTCAGTGATTTGCCCTGTTAAAAATCAAATATAAATGTAAAAAAGCCATGCGTCTTCAACAAGAAAAAATGGATGCCAGTTACCTGCCACATTATTTTGCTGGTACAAATATATTATTGCAAAGCTTCACAATTCTGCTAGAGTTGGTACTTTGTTCAGTATTCAGCTTATAAAAATATTTCAAATAAAAGTTTTAGATCTTAATGAGATTGCATTTTCTGTACAATTTTTGTTTATAGTGTGAGCTGTTTCTGAAGAAAATTGTGCTTATTATAAAGTAGTTGGCATGTAGGAATAAAATTGTACTGATTTATCTGATCTGTTTCTACAAATTTTGTTGGAAATGTTTCACATCCATTGATATTGCCTTTAATTAATGTGGGCCTCTGAATTTAATGGCAACACTGATTAACTAATTCATCATTGTCTTCAGACTTATGTATTAGGATATCCAAAAACTCTAAATACAGTTTTTCATATACCATTTATTAGATTTTCTGGATCATACCAATGACTGTTGCTTTGTTCCCAAAAGATTGGAACTTTGATGACGAGCTTTTCCATTTGTCTTCCTTGAGTTCAAAGTATCTTAATGCATTTTTGCAGCAGAGTTGAGTTTTGTAGTACTTGTCCAGTGGTTGGAGAGTTGGAGATCTGTTCAGTTAGTCTGTTATATGAGAAGTTTCTCTTACAGCAAACCTGGTTCGGGGTGACAGAGCAGAAGAGATTAGACACACCGTTGGACGAAGACTGGCTGGTAGTAATCAGTCTCGGATTGCCCTTGGTGCAGATGAGGAAGAAAGTCCCTTGCAATCAAAAAGATCTAGTAGGTTTTGATTTTTTAGGTTCTGTGAAAAGTGTAACTGTTACAATTTATAGTTATGTTTGTAAATGTTATGCAAGCATTCCTAAAATTTAATGCTTTGATTTTGTGTACATAACTCTTCTGCAAGTGATTAACACTCTTGTTTCTCTGTTGTTGTTTATGTTAAAGGCTTTGTGTTATTCTTGTTGCTGTGCATGAAATCATGTGATGTATGTTCTGCTTTCTGGTGTCAGTTCCCTGTATGTTGAGAATGTGAGATGGGCAAAGTGTTTTTTGAAAAGGAATCAGTAGTTACATAGAGATGTTATCTTGATGTCCATGACTACATTTTTCCCTCTAATTTGTCACTGTACTAAGTTCTTTCTCTCACTCTAAACATGCCGTATTCTAAGCTTTTTTAACGTAACTGTCAAAGTGCACCAGCTTCATGAACACATAATTGATAGGAATTGATACTTGCATTTGAAGTTCATATTACATTTATTTATTTTGTTATCCTAAAACTTGGGTTATGCATTGTGTAAAACTGATTTCTAGCATATTATGACAAACTGATGTAAAACTCTGAATGCAGAGTACTTGTTTGCTTTATTAGCTTGCTGTATAGATTTCTCCCTTCTCTCAACAAAAAGAGAAAAGATTGTTGTAAGCATAGTATATTGAACTTAGCGCTTATATGCATTTCCTGTGTTTTTAAATAGGAGTTCTGCATTTATATTGGTGTGTTTCATATTGTACATTCTGCGGCCATGGTATGTCCTGTATTGTATGATTAATGGTGTCCTTATATGTAAATTTTTTGTCAGTCTTTTGGCCATAACGATTAAGCCTGGAAGTGTACAACTTCATTTTTGGTGCATTTTTGTCTTTGGTGTATGTTTATGTATTGAAGGAAGGACATTATTCCTTTACAAATGGAGCATTCTTCTTTTTATAGCTGTGCAGTAAATGAATCAATGCAATGAAAGTTCATTATATGAGATTGGTGACAGTTTTTTGCAACTCAGTGCATCAAGCACGTACTTATGTTTATTCAGTGATTTGCCCTGTTAAAAATCAAATATAAATGTAAAAAAGCCATGCGTCCTCTGGAAAGTTGTAAAATTTATGTTGTTATTGCTATTATTGCTGTCCTCTGGAAAGTTGTAAAATTTATGTTGATATTGCTATTATTGCTGTTATAATATCTCTTTTGGGTGTGGGTCTGTGACTCACACTGTATCAGATTTATTTTAGCACCAGTGATGGACAGTAGATCAGTGGTATAAAATATTAGCTTCCATCCATTGAACTATCATAAATTGCTATTAAGTTTCATGACCTCTTCATTGTGTTTTATGCTTTTGTTGCTTGCTAATCTGTTATGTAGTTCACAGTGGTCCTGGAAATTTATTCACAGACTTACATAGTTGAAAATGTAATGAATTATATCTTGGAGACAAAATATATTTGTACATTCTTGAATTGTATCCTCCTCTGTTTGGATATCTAATATTAAATTAATGTGGATTTCCATACATGATTTTGATATTCTGAGCAGTTTGCCTGTTATATCGTGCTCATGAAATCTTTAGCTGTTATTTATTAGTTGGCTAATTCATGTATGTTTATGTGGCTTAAGCTACTGAATTGTCTTTTTATGCATTATGCTGCTTGTTGGTAGTGCTTCACAGAACTACTACTTTATATTTTACTGCAGTATTTTAATTATTTATTTAATATATTTGCTTCTTGTTTTATGCAGGCTAGATTTGTTCATTTGTTACAGTTCCTTGTATTTTTTAAAGTATGCATGAAAGTAAATTAGTTATTTATTGAATGTGCTGTAGGGTTAACCTTCAAGAAGTTTTCGGCTTCATAATTGTCATTTATTTGATGTGAAATATATTGGCATGTTATGTTGAAGCAAGTTTCATTGATGCTGCTCACCAAGTTACATTTGTGCCCACCACATATTTTTCTCTTGATTTGCATAGTTTGTTGCTGAAAGAAAAATTGACTTCAGAAATGAGCAAGCCTGGCTGCCATAAAACTGCCAAACTATCATTGTTCTGCATATGCATTATACTCTCTGGGTATATGAGGAAATTATTTTGCATGTGAAAGAGACTACTTATATTTAATGTAATAAAGATTAATGATCAGATGATAGGGTATTGATTTACACAAAAAAATCTTTTGAATATGTAGGTTAACTGTTCTTTTAAAGTTTAAGTTGGGTGATGAAAAACATAATTTTTGTGACTTGTGTTTTGTGCACAGAGGTAGAGATATGCTAAATTACTTCTCTTTTGCTCATACAATGTACACTCAGAAGTTTAGATTCTTTTTGGTTAGAATCTGTGCTATATTTATTTTAGATGTAAATTCTATATTTTACTCTTTATGCCTTTGTCTTTAAAAACAGCTACAATTTTTTGACGTAAGTATGTCTATGCGGAAGAGTCATTCGGCAAAAAAGCGTAACGAAGTTGTGTAAGATTCATATCAATAATGTGTAAATATGGACTGACAACAATGGTCAGCTTTTATATGAACTCCTGCATGCATTTTGTTACACTAGGGCAGAACGCTCCTTTCGGAGCTCCTCGGAGGGGCTGGTCAAGTTTTTAAAAAGCAACCAACCCCTTCGGGGGGTTGGGGGGTTGGTTGCGTTTTAAAATCTTGTGTAAGAAACTAAATTAAACCCCCCGAATGGAGGGTTAAAACACTTGACCAACCCCTCCTTCGGCATTGTTGTGTTCCACAACAATGCCGAGTTAGTTTATAGTTGACATTGTTGATGACGTCATTCTTTGACGACAAATTGGTTGACGACAACGGGGAATCACAAATTTTTATAGTAGAAGATGATAGATTGTTGTGTTGTACTCGGCATTGTTGTGGAACACAATGCCGAGTATAAACGAAAGTTTACATTGTTGATGACGTCATTTTTTGACGACAACGAGGAATCACAAATTTTTATAATAGATAAGAAAGTAATTGTTGTGTCATCTGTTTACTCGGCATTGTTGTGTTACATTATTTGTTATTGCAGAAAGAGGTGAGCTGTGAATTGCTTGTAGAAGAAGTGCGTCGTAGACTAGATAATTTTGTGCTGGTAAAAACGTTTTAGAATATCAAAAGTACTTTTCTTATATAAGAAGTATTACATTTCATTACATTACGTTACAGAGACGTATTTACGTCAGATTCTCCGGAACCGTGGTTCCACTGTCAACTTTTTGTCTTTCTCATAAAGTAAAGTAATGTAAAAATGTTATACTACATGCCATGAAGGCACATGAGGGTAGAAGAGGTATAATTCCTACTCAATCTTGAACTTGGCACTAAGTGGGGTAGCTCAGTTGCCACGCTTCAGAAAACCTGAAGGGATCATAAAGAAATAGGTATGGACTTGATTCATTTGGCTGAGAATAAGCATTCGGTAGTGGGCTGTTCTGTACTCAATACTTTGGTGCCATGAAGTGTACAGAATGTCTTGATCACCTGAGCAACAAACAACTTCTCAAGAAAGAGCCAAATGTTGGCGTGTATACCATATTAAGAAATTGATTAACTGTTTGATGTGGAACTACCCAGATGTTAAGGAACTCCACAGAACAGTTCACCTCTACTGCAGAGCAGTTATGAAATTAAGAGTTATAAGAGGAAGCACAGTCTTTCATTTAATTTAGATGAGTACAGTTAATTTATGATATAGTTTGTTAGAAAGTTCTGCATTTTAATAATCATTTCATTGTCTTTTTACAAGGTGTGATGAGTGCTGAAGAAGAAGAATCAACAAAACGTGTGGACCATGGTTCACCATCTTTTCTGGAAAAATTAGGTGCTGGAACAGATGCTTTGTTGGAAGAATTCTTTCAGTGGTGGGGCACAGGTGAGCTGGAGGGTAATTGACATTTGGTCCACAACAAATTGTGTGGACACTTTATATCATTTAGTACAAAACATTTTAGAAATGAGAAATTAACAAGTTTTGAGACCCTCTGAACCAAAATTGTCTCAAAATCCACCTCAATAATTTGCTCATTGATAAGTACATAATGTACTGCAATAAATAGGTGACATTTTCATTCTGTTTATGTATACTTATTCTGAAATTGTTTTGACATAACTGAACATCTGCAATTGCTGTTAGTCTTATTGTTGCTAATGGGCTGTGAGTGAAATTGGTGCCTGTATCTCCTTCATAGAATGGAAGTGAATTTGTTTTGGTAGGTGAAGGAAATGATTTTTGTTTCAGAATACTGTCGTACATACTGTGAGGTATTTTGGAAATTAGTAAGACTGTGTTATATCAATTTCACATGAACTTGTAATTATAAGATACATTGTACACCCATTCTTTCTGGTCTTTTATGTAGCCACAAACTGCTGGATGTAGGATATTTAGATTCAGCAAATACATCATTTGTGTGTCTGTTTAGTTTCACCAGATTTGGCAACATTTTGTTTCACTTCTGCAAATATATATCTGTTTCATATAATTTGACAGGGAATAATGTTTATTAGAGTGTGTCTAAGCTACAAAGGATTCAGAAAAGAATTTTCATGTAGGATTTCAAGTTTTCATGGCGGTGAGTCCGAATACGGCTGTCTCCCGGGTGGTTGTGCTGTGTAGTCTGGTATAAGTTTACCGATTTTTCAGAAGTCCTTGCTGCCTCCATCATTAGGGTGATGAGTAAGCCATGCGAGCAGGAAACGCTTTTAAAGAATTTCCATTTTACTCGCATTTTAATTTTTACATGCTATCCTCTAGTGTGAGCAAGGAAGACCTTATGGGCCCATCCATATTTGGCTTGTCACTCTTTTCCTATGGGGGTAAGCATCTTTCCTGAATGGGATAATTGTTGTGCAACTGTGACAAGATTGGTTGAAGGTGCAACAGTTGACCTCATCACATTATTGCAAGAATTAGCGCAGTTTAAGTGTAGTCTTATTTAATTACTTTTCTTTTCAGGTTGTGCTCGTCATCCTTGGCTTGTTTTGTTTGTGGGACTCTGTGTTGTTACTGGCATGGGACATGGCATCAAATACATAAAAGTAACCACAAACCCAGTAGAACTGTGGGCTTCACCCCATAGCAGATCAAGAGTTGAACGAGAATATTTTGATAGCCATTTTGAACCTTTCTATCGTACTGAACAAGTTATCATTCAAGCATCAGGATATAAGTCTGTAAGTTTATGTACATTTCTTATTATTGTTTTCATCAATTGTAGTGTAAAGTTTGCTATTTAAGATGGATTTTTATCTTCCACATTTTTCCTATTTTACATTGTTATTGCATGAAATTTGTAAAAGTTAACCCAGTGGTGAAATTTGTAAAATTGATTTATGAAATGTACAAAGAAATGTAGTATTTAAACTAATAGAAATATAATAAATGTTTGGCTTTAATTTTTGAATTTGCAGATTGTTCACAATACATCAAATGGACCCATAGTTTTTGGACCTGCTTTCAATGAGACTTTCCTAATGACAGTTCTGTCTCTTCAGAAAGAAATAGAAAAGGTTAGTTAATTTTTATATTATTTGAATTTGTAGTTTAATGTTTCATTTGACTGTGTAAGTGTTTGCATTTTGTTTGGCATTTGGTACCATATATCTATGGTGAAATCTCCGTGATGTTTTCTAAGGGACCATGAATTTGAATGCTGAACTGACAAAACCTTAAGTTACTGGTTATTAGTATATTAATCTGTGAGATATTGATTGATATTTTGATGTTGATGCAGATTGGTAAAGAAGAGGGCAATGGTTTGGAGAAAATTTGCTTTGCACCCTTGACATCACAATTCACTGGACCACCCCATGTTGAACAGTGTGTGGTGCAGAGTGTCTGGGGCTACTTCCAGGATAGTGAAGATACTTTTAATGAAACTGACACAGATCCAGAGGGTTTTGTTGTGAACTACTTGGATCATTTTGTGAAATGCACACAGTAAATATCCAATAAATTGTCTGTTTCATATGTTTTAGATATTTTTACTTCATCAAACAGGAATGTGTATTGATCCCCAATACAATGTTTTTCCAGCATACAGCATTTATTTTTTTATATTGTGGCCAAATTCTAGTACCATCATTATCATCATAATTTTTTCTCCCCCCCTCTAGTTTTTTGGTATGTGAATTATGTTTTTTTCCCATAGTCTTGCAAGTTTCTTATTTATAGTGCATGATGTTTTGTAATGTTTACTCATTTGGCATGTTATTTCCAGTTTATTTTATAATGTAAAAATTCAGTTACTTTTGAAATTTGTAGTTTTTCTATGAATGGTGTATTAATGTCTGTTCTATAGTGTTTGTAAGTTGTGTTGATTTTCCGCATCCAGCGTTCAGTGTCTGATCTCTCCTACAGTTGTTTGATAACTCTGTAATGGGACAAGTTTAGGACAGGACACTTGATGATTGAATCCAGTAGTGCCTATTAGATTTATCTCTATATTATTATGTGTAGGGCAGCTCTTGAGTCTCCCTGAGCCACCTATCCAGTAGTGTTTGCATGCTGTTTGAGAATAAAAATGCATGTAAAGTGTTGTCCGATCTTAACTGAAGGTTAATATGCTGACAAATTTCAGTGAGACCTCCTATTATCATTTAATGGGAATCAATTTAATGGTTCTCAAGTTTTTACATGTAGATGGATGTACACACATGGCATAGATGCACTTTTCACCTTTTAGTTGTAAATATGAATGAAAATAAAAGGAATGTCATGGTAGTATGAAACACTTGCTAAGAGTTTTTAAAATTTTTATGTAATAATAAACTTCTGATATGTTTTGTGTTATTTCAGAAATTATTACAATCCTGAATGCCTAGCTGAGTATGGAGGCCCTGTAGATCCAGCCATAGCTCTAGGTGGCTTTTTGGATGCTGGAGAAATATTAGAAGGTGAACCAAGATATGAGAGAGCAACAGCAGTGATCCTTACATTTCTTGTTAATAACTATCACAACAAGACCAAATTGGGACCGGCTCTTGAGTGGGAGCAGAAGTAAGTACTCTTCTGTTGGTATATTGACAAGAGTGGAAACTTTAGAGTCAACATTTTTTCCAAAACATACTTATCTATTAAAATGTCCATATTCATTTTTATGTCTCTATGCTGTATATATGAGGATATTAAATTTGCAGGTACAACACACACTTCATTTGTCACTAAAGTTTAACATGTTCAGAATCATATCTAACCTTGATCGGGTAGCAACAAAAGGAACATGCCATGAGAAGACAAAAGATGTCTCTTTTGAATGCACAGTTTTAGCTTCTGTTGCTACATGGTGCATGCATCTAACTTTTGTGATTCCTTGAATGATGGTTAATTGACTATTAATTTCCTTATTTTAATGAGGCAAAACATTGTGCTGCTATTGATGGTTGACCTGAGAGGTAAGCCAGCAGCATGGTGAGTGGGAGTGAACTTGTTTATTATCTGGGGAGATGGGGGAAAATAATAATGTCAGATGAAGGATGCCTATACTTTAATTTATGAATCCAACTTAAGCTTTACTAAATTTCTTTATGCAAGGTTTATTGAATTCATGAAGAATTACACCGCACAGCCACATCCAGATATAGAAGTTGCCTTTACATCTGAGCGCTCAATTGAAGATGAGCTGGATCGTGAGTCTCATTCAGATGTCAGCACCATTCTAGTCAGCTACATCATTATGTTTGCATACATTGCAATTGCACTTGGACAAATTCGCACTTGCAGTCGGCTGCTGGTAAGACACCTGTAGAATGGTAAAACTATATTTTCTGGAAGGTTTTATTGATACAGATAAAGTTGGTTTATTGATATTTGACCACTGGCAGGGCTGGTGGACAATAGGGCATGAAAGGCTTGTAGACATCTTTTTCACTTATTTTATGCTATATGTGCAAAGTTATTATGTATGTCTGCCATGTTTACCATTTTGAACTTACAAGCCTGTTTTTCCGATGTATGTCCTTCCATATAAGATAGAGAAGTGTTACTGGGCCACCAGAAGTTCCTATAATTCTCTGACAGATGGAAGATTGTTCCTTCATTAATTCATCGGTCTTAGCTGTGAATTCATGGGATACAGAAGATTGTGTGTTCACACTTCTGTAGGGAATAGCACCAGTCACTTGGAAACAGGTGTGTTTGTATAGAAATGTATAGCACTCTGGAGATTTATATTTATTTATTTAACAATGGAAATTTACATAAATATTAATATGTGCTTTATGAGTTTTTGTCAGTTGATTGCCAACTCTTCTCACTGTGTGCTGAGACTGGAAAAAACTACTCTTCTGACTTATCACACAATGGAAGTTTAATGTATTTACATCACAAACCTTTGATGTAAATGGTGGAGTAATTTTAGGAGGTGTTTTTAGAGGAAGGAGTGTCATAGACTGATAACTATAATATTTTTAATATATTTTACTGGACAGAAAACTTCAAGATAAAGTCTGAGCTTCACAGTATTGAGGTTAAATGTTCCTCTGTTACAGATTGACAGCAAAGTGACGCTTGGGTTAGGAGGAGTGTTGATTGTACTTGCTTCCGTAGTGTGTTCAGTTGGGTTGTTTGGTTTTATTGGTGTTCCAGCAACACTCATCATCATTGAGGTAAGTGTTGATCTGCAGAAGCATATGAAGTATATTCTGAATTTGTTGAACATTTATATTATATCAGATCAGGATATAATTTCCATACTATTTTTACTGTTTGTAGAAAGAATAGTCATCTTTATTTGTATGTGTTTTTGCAGCCTTCTCCTCCTTTGTGAGTAATTTTCAATGATTATAGCAATTTCTTAAGTATCTGACATTTCTCACTGAATTTAGTGAAATAATTTCAGGTAATTCCATTCTTGGCGCTTGCTGTGGGAGTGGACAATATCTTCATTCTAGTGCAGACACACCAGAGAGAACCACGCCATCCAAATGAGAGCCACGTGTCACATATAGGCCGTGTTGTTGCCCAAGTTGGGCCATCCATGCTTCTAACAAGCTTGTCAGAGTCATGTTGTTTTTTTCTAGGTAATATACTGTCACTTAATTTGAAAGGCGATGGTTTTTATCTTTCTTTCTCCTCTGTGCAGTATTATATTACTTGAAGTGGAGAAATGACCTATGATTTTAAATTTTAAGAAAAGTACTGTTTAATAACAAAGATTAAATAAATTCTAAATTGTGCAGGCACAGAGATGACTGTAATAAAAGTTCAGGACTAAAAGAAAGGAAAAAAAATTTGTTAGAAGTATAACAAGCACTAAGCCACCAAATTGTGTGCAAGGTACAGAGATATTCTAGTACATAGCGTATGCCACTGTATATATAGCATCTAGCCATTTTCTTTGTTATGAAGGTCCTTTTTGTAGAGAGGTTCTTAATCTTGATGTAATTTTTTCCAGGTGCTTTATCAGACATGCCTGCAGTCCGTGCATTTGCTTTGTATGCAGGAATGGCCCTGCTGATTGACTTTTTACTCCAAATCACCTGCTTTGTCAGTTTGTTAGCTCTCGACACCATACGACAAGCAGTAAGTCTCTAATGTTGTGTTTAAATCAGATGCTTTTTTATATTATTTTATTTGAAGTATGTTGCTTAAGAGATTGTGCCTGCATTCATATTTATGGTCCATAGTTACTTGTTTATAAAAGCATTATCAGCATTTAAATTATGAACATTAACGTTTTTTAACAAGATACATGTTGAAACATCTTCTGTCATGAAGACAGTGCTAATTTTAATGTGATGCTATTGAATTCTGCAGAATTAATCAATAATATGAAGCTGTGCAAAATATTATGAATCCAACTTAAGCTTTACTAAATTTCTTTATGCAAGGTTTATTGAATTCATGAAGAATTACACCGCACAGCCACATCCAGATATAGAAGTTGCCTTTACATCTGAGCGCTCAATTGAAGATGAGCTGGATCGTGAGTCTCATTCAGATGTCAGCACCATTCTAGTCAGCTACATCATTATGTTTGCATACATTGCAATTGCACTTGGACAAATTCGCACTTGCAGTCGGCTGCTGGTAAGACACCTGTAGAATGGTAAAACTATATTTTCTGGAAGGTTTTATTGATACAGATAAAGTTGGTTTATTGATATTTGACCACTGGCAGGGCTGGTGGACAATAGGGCATGAAAGGCTTGTAGACATCTTTTTCACTTATTTTATGCTATATGTGCAAAGTTATTATGTATGTCTGCCATGTTTACCATTTTGAACTTACAAGCCTGTTTTTCCGATGTATGTCCTTCCATATAAGATAGAGAAGTGTTACTGGGCCACCAGAAGTTCCTATAATTCTCTGACAGATGGAAGATTGTTCCTTCATTAATTCATCGGTCTTAGCTGTGAATTCATGGGATACAGAAGATTGTGTGTTCACACTTCTGTAGGGAATAGCACCAGTCACTTGGAAACAGGTGTGTTTGTATAGAAATGTATAGCACTCTGGAGATTTATATTTATTTATTTAACAATGGAAATTTACATAAATATTAATATGTGCTTTATGAGTTTTTGTCAGTTGATTGCCAACTCTTCTCACTGTGTGCTGAGACTGGAAAAAACTACTCTTCTGACTTATCACACAATGGAAGTTTAATGTATTTACATCACAAACCTTTGATGTAAATGGTGGAGTAATTTTAGGAGGTGTTTTTAGAGGAAGGAGTGTCATAGACTGATAACTATAATATTTTTAATATATTTTACTGGACAGAAAACTTCAAGATAAAGTCTGAGCTTCACAGTATTGAGGTTAAATGTTCCTCTGTTACAGATTGACAGCAAAGTGACGCTTGGGTTAGGAGGAGTGTTGATTGTACTTGCTTCCGTAGTGTGTTCAGTTGGGTTGTTTGGTTTTATTGGTGTTCCAGCAACACTCATCATCATTGAGGTAAGTGTTGATCTGCAGAAGCATATGAAGTATATTCTGAATTTGTTGAACATTTATATTATATCAGATCAGGATATAATTTCCATACTATTTTTACTGTTTGTAGAAAGAATAGTCATCTTTATTTGTATGTGTTTTTGCAGCCTTCTCCTCCTTTGTGAGTAATTTTCAATGATTATAGCAATTTCTTAAGTATCTGACATTTCTCACTGAATTTAGTGAAATAATTTCAGGTAATTCCATTCTTGGCGCTTGCTGTGGGAGTGGACAATATCTTCATTCTAGTGCAGACACACCAGAGAGAACCACGCCATCCAAATGAGAGCCACGTGTCACATATAGGCCGTGTTGTTGCCCAAGTTGGGCCATCCATGCTTCTAACAAGCTTGTCAGAGTCATGTTGTTTTTTTCTAGGTAATATACTGTCACTTAATTTGAAAGGCGATGGTTTTTATCTTTCTTTCTCCTCTGTGCAGTATTATATTACTTGAAGTGGAGAAATGACCTATGATTTTAAATTTTAAGAAAAGTACTGTTTAATAACAAAGATTAAATAAATTCTAAATTGTGCAGGCACAGAGATGACTGTAATAAAAGTTCAGGACTAAAAGAAAGGAAAAAAAATTTGTTAGAAGTATAACAAGCACTAAGCCACCAAATTGTGTGCAAGGTACAGAGATATTCTAGTACATAGCGTATGCCACTGTATATATAGCATCTAGCCATTTTCTTTGTTATGAAGGTCCTTTTTGTAGAGAGGTTCTTAATCTTGATGTAATTTTTTCCAGGTGCTTTATCAGACATGCCTGCAGTCCGTGCATTTGCTTTGTATGCAGGAATGGCCCTGCTGATTGACTTTTTACTCCAAATCACCTGCTTTGTCAGTTTGTTAGCTCTCGACACCATACGACAAGCAGTAAGTCTCTAATGTTGTGTTTAAATCAGATGCTTTTTTATATTATTTTATTTGAAGTATGTTGCTTAAGAGATTGTGCCTGCATTCATATTTATGGTCCATAGTTACTTGTTTATAAAAGCATTATCAGCATTTAAATTATGAACATTAACGTTTTTTAACAAGATACATGTTGAAACATCTTCTGTCATGAAGACAGTGCTAATTTTAATGTGATGCTATTGAATTCTGCAGAATTAATCAATAATATGAAGCTGTGCAAAATATATCATGAGTATATATATATATATATATTTTTTTATTTTGCTTCTATTTTTTATTGTTTATGTTAAATTTCCCGTTTCATGGGGTTGCCTCAAATTCACTGTCTTCTTATTTTGGGTACATGTGTAAGTCATTGCCTGTTGTTTTGTATGGGTGCGAAACATGGTCTCTCGCTCAGAGGGAGGAACACAGATTGCAGGTGTTTGAGAACAGGGTGTTGAGGAGGATATTTGGGCCTAAGAGGGAAGACGATGGGGCGTGGAGAAAACTGCATAATGATGAGCTTAAAAATCTGTACTCCTCCTCCAGTATTGTCAGGGTGATTAAGTCGAGAAGAATGAGATGGGCTGGGCATGTAGCGCGCATGGATGGGACAAGAGGTGTGCACCGAGTACTGGTTGGGAAACCTGAAGGGAAGAGACCGCTGGGGAGACCTAGACGTAGATGGGAGGATAATCTCAGGCGGGATCTATGGGAGATAGGAGTTGAAGGAAACTGGATTTTGTTGGCCCAGGACAGGGTCCGGTGGAGGGCTTTGGTTAATTCGGTGATGAACCTTCGGGTTCGGTAAGCCATCTAGTTAATTATGTAAGTCATTGTTCTCAGATTCAGTTGCCCATATATTATTATTCAGCATGTTTTAATGAGCATAAATGTTGCGTTTGTTTTAAATATGAAGGTAACAGTTTGAATTTATTACACAGTTGACATGTATGGTCTCGTGACTTTGAGGCTAGTTAATTGGTATTAACCTTTGCAAATAATTTTTACAGGAAAATAGGTTGGATGTGTGTTGTTTCCTACATGGCCCTAAGTCTGAAGTAGATTCCAACTCTGAGGGAATTCTGTACAAGCTCTTCAAACTTCTTTATGTTCCTCTGCTGATGAAGTCGGTGGTCAGAGCTGCTGTGATGGTTGTATTTTTTGGTTGGTTATGCACAAGTATTGCTGTAATTCCTGACATTGAAGTTGGTTTGGACCAAGAACTCTCAATGTCTGAAGATTCATATGTTCTTAAATACTTCAAGGTAATAGTCCATGTAACATTCTTACCTTAAAGAGAAAATGTGGTTGTCACATTGATCATATGCGATCTGTATCTACCAGGTTAAGACGTAGACTTGACTTGCCCTGGGTGTTACATCCAGACAGATCTAGGTGCAGATTTTTCTCTATGCAAAGCTTAAAAATTTGTAACACGGAAAGTAACAGGTATCAGCATCAGGTTTAGTTCAGAGCTCATGTTGTGTCATCTCTTGGCAGTCATTCTTGTGAATCTTTTGTTGTTAGGAATGGCAGGCAGAATTTGTCTTATGGGTTATCCTACCTCAGAAATGGATATTATTTTCATTGCTGATTATACCGTGTTGGAAGTGTGAACATAGTGGATGATATATAATTTTCTGCATGTGTCCTAGTATTTCTGTAGTATATCTCCCCCTACCAAAAAAAAAATACAGTTAAGCGAGTTATTTTCATCCATCTCTTCAGCCTACTTTGTGTTTGTGTCACATTAATGATAGCGTCTTGCTCAGACTCCTCATAATGCAGAAGTATAAGGGGTACAGTAAAGCTGCACACATTTTCAGCTTTGCAATTATGTGGAAGCCTTCATCACACATTGGTCAATTATTTACTCTGTATTATTAGATTGTATGCTGTATCAATATAATTCTTGGACTTGTTTCAGTGTAATGTTTCATAATATCTGTTTCAGAATATGAGCCGTTATTTATCCATTGGGCCACCAATGTACTTTGTTGTCAAAGGTGGTTTGAATTATTCAGAACCAGAAGTACAGAACTTGGTATGTGGAGGGCAGTACTGCAATCTTGATTCTCTCAGTACACAGGTGTATTTGGCCTCTAAGAATCCTAAAAGGTAATTTCTTTCTCTAGATTAGTGTAGTCATATTTGAATATCTAAAGCATTTGTTGGTGACTGCATGTCTTGGTTTCCATTTTTTATTTTCATATTACAGAACATACATTGCTAGAGCTGCAGCTTCATGGATTGATGACTATATGGACTGGTCAGCTCCTAATTCTGGATGTTGCAAGTTCTTTACACAGAACAATTCCTTCTGCCCACATAATATCCGTAAGTATGATATTTTGATATACTGTGGTACCCACAAGTAGGTTTGGAGAAATCTAATCTGAGAGAGGCCCAGATAGAGGTAGACCCAGTAGAAGCTCAAGAGTGTCCAAAACATTGAAGGTAAGGCTAAGGGAACAATAGCAGAGTAGCAGATCCAGTTATAATTATCTACAGATTTTTGCTGAAGTGTCCAAAGTTTAGATGGAAGTACATGGAAGTAAGCAAATGGCTAGAAAGTTGGGAAAAGAAAATTAGCATGGAGAAAGGTATGATAAATTCTATGGTAGTTATTAAAGTAGCTACAAGTAAATTATGGAAAACTTTATTTTAAGGAAATTGTGTTTTTCTTTTTTGTTTTAGATTCAGGCTGCTCAGACTGTGTTGTTCATATTGATAACAAAACCAATCGTCCGATTCCAGTTGATTTTGAAAAGTTTGTCCCATTCTTTTTGCAAGATAATCCAGATGAAAATTGTGCTAAAGCTGGACATGCAGCTTATGGACAGGTATGTGTTATATCATTATTTGTGATGTTTAGAAATTTTAAGTCATACCATTTCATTATGTCTGTGTAGTTGCATCTTAGGCGACTTTTGGTACTGGTCTTACATTAACTTGTGTTATATTTGTCTTCAGTGTTCACTTCCAGCTCTTCAATTAAAAAGTGTCCTCCTGCTAGATGCACACCAGCTGCTAATGTTGTCTGCAAGGACTTTGATATATTTTTTACAAAAATTATTTACCTTAATCGCATTCTATAATAACTGTGTTATTATCCGTATGTTAGATATTAATTACATTTGTTACAAATTTTTATGTATTTTTTCCCATTTCTCTCATCTACTCACCATTGACTGTGCTACTATAGAATTTCTCTGTTTTAGTACCTTCTTTAGCATAATTTCTTCTCATTTTAATCTAATTGACTTCATTTATATGAATTATTATTACAAACCTATTAATGTATGCAGTAGCAATTTGCCTTTGTGTATTAACATCCTCTACACTCATAATTTTTTGATAATGTCTTTGTTGTTACCTTGGAGCTGATGTAGCTCAGTCAGTATAGTGACTGACTATGGATGGCAAAACCTGGGTTCAATCCCTAACAAGGGCAGATGATTTTTCTTCTAGCCTCTGCATCCAGACTGGCTCTGGGGCCCACCCAGCCTTCTATCTAATGGGTCCTGGGTTTAAAGTGTGGCCAGGGTGTGGCACTGACCACTCGCCCCTGTCTAGTGCCAAGGTTAAGAATGAGTAGGAGCTATACTGCTCTCCCCCCAAGTGCCTACAATTCATAAAGCAGGACAACTTTACTTCCTTTTACTTTACTCTTTCTTGTTACCTTTCTATATTTATTAAGATTGTGCTCTAATCTTGTGCTGTATCTGTAATCGGCCTTCTGGCTGTTTGTACAGTAGACTAGCAATACTTAATTGAATTGAATAAAGTACAAATCTGTCAACTTGCTAGTTGATCTAGAGAAATGTGTTATGATGTCAGTGTATGAAATATATAAATATTTTAAGATTCTGTTGTCATTAAATGTTAGGTTTGTGAATGAGTCTTAAGCAAGGGATATTTCTGTGAAATTGTTCTTTTGGATTGTCTTATCATCTAAACTATAAAATTAAACATTGCAGTGATCCAAAAGCTGGATTTTGCTTTCCTCAGCAGGTAAAAAGGAGAAAGAGGAGACACTATCTTTGGAGTTAGCTCTACTCATGTCTTCAGGTGATTTAATTTTGATATTGGTGATGAATTATTTTTTAGGGTGTTAGATATAAAGTGGATGAACATGGCCTTGCACAAGTTGGTGCAAACTACTTCATGGCATATCATACAATCCTCAAAACATCAAAGGATTACTACAAATCACTGAAATCAGCTCGCACAATCTCAGCAAATGTTACAGACTCCATAAACTCGCATTTGAAGGCCTTGGGTTACAGTACTACCATTGAAGTGTTCCCATACAGGTGAGATGAAGTAAACTTTTTAAAACTTTAATAACATGTAGAAAGGTTGCAGAGAAATAGATTAGCATATTTAGAACTGTACTATGTGCTCATTGAAAAATAAATACAGGTTACCACAAAAGAGATAGAGAAAGCAATTTTTGGATGGGAGTTAATGGAACAGACTATACAAGCCTAAAATCCAGTTAGTACAGGAAGATAAACTAGGCTGTGTTCAAGCAATTATTTGCTTTAAGGTATATGTGAATCCATGATTATGACAACTGCATTTTATTTTAAGAACAGCGAGCATAATAAAGTATGACAAAATAATATGTAATAAAATGTGGCATACTCTGAAATTCTGTAACATGTTTGTGCACATTTCTGTTGCAGTGTCTTCTATGTCTTTTATGAACAGTACTTAACAACATGGCCTGACACCTTGTTCAGCCTTGGAGTTTCGTTAGCAGCTATATTTGTAGTGACATTCTTATTGATGGGCCTGGATGTCTTTTCATCCATTGTGGTGATTATTACCATCACGATGATTGTTGTGAATATTGGAGGCCTCATGTACTGGTGGCATATTACGCTAAATGCTGTCTCTCTTGTCAACCTTGTAATGGTGTGTATATTTCTTTGGAGTCATACAGGTAGACTAGGTTTCTTAAAAGTGTGTTTGGGTTCTCTCTTTGAGTTTTCTAGTTTTTGTTCATGTTGTAAGTACTTTGAAATATTTGTTAATTGGTATTCATACTTATTTTTATTCATTAATAGGTTATCCAATGAATTTTTATGCCCTGTGGAAGTTTGTGAGAGCCAGAATATCACAGTATTCTGACTAGACTACAAACTGGATGACCAGTCTGTATCATAAACTTCAAGAATTAGGGTCATATTCAATATGGAATTCTGATTCAAATACCATTATCATTAACATGGCTTATAATGCACCAAATTAAACATAGTGTTTTGTTTAATATTTCTTGAGTAACTGGATTTCTGTTGTGTATGGTGCTCATAATTTCCCCGTGACTTGCCTATTCCCTGTATTTCTATTCCTGTCTTGGTTGACTGCATTTATATATTTCCTTGTTTAGTAAATGTAGAACAGTGTTTGGATCGATCTGTAATTTATCCTCCAAAATACTTTAAATAGAAGTAAGTTCATTTGTTTAGGTAACAGTGAAATGATATCAAAAATTATCTGATTGTCAGAAATCTAAATTTCCTCACATTTCTATGTGGTCTCATATTGTGAAGGATTTTGAATGGATATCTCCAATAAGAATGCTCATGTATTTTCCTGGGGTAATAACATTTAAAAGATAGAGACAGTTTGAAAGTTTCATGTAGAAAAAGTAAGTACATTGAACTTGTGAAGGAATTTTGTAGGAAAAGAATATTTAATGGTTATTTTAAAAAGTAGTAAAATCTGTAACAAATACATTGAAAGTTCTGTGAGAAATTTAGGAAAGTAAATTATTAGATCAAAATTAGATGGCTGTCTTCTGGGTTGTAACACCATGTAGTTTAGTAGAAGTTTACCAAAGTTTCAAAGGCCATGCTGCCACCATCATCATTACCCTATTGAAGGCAGAAATGAATCAAATGTTGGCATATTTTTAGAGGTTTAGATTGGTTCAAGGGGATTGTTAAGACTAAAGAGACATTAACTTCTTTGTATTTTGCAGGCTATTGGTATTTCTGTCGAGTTCTGTAGTCATCTTGTACATACTTTTGCTGTATCAGTAAAAGAAACAAGAGTGCAAAGAGCTGCAGATGCATTAACAAGAATGGGTAGTTCGGTAAGTTGGCTGCATACAAGAGCTCTAGCATATACGCTTTATCTTCACTTTGAAGCTAGAATTATCAGTAAGTTTATCAACCACAACTGGAAAATTATGTGCATAGGAAATGATAATATTTGGCCAGTTTATGCAGTGAACATTATTAGGCATGGTGTAAATCAGAAAACTAATGTTACATAAACTTTGTCACATTTTGAGCGTTTGCCAGAGAATTTTGTAAAGAATTCATAATTGCTTTGTTTCCCTTCAAGTGCTTCAGATACAAGGTGGTATTCATTATTCACTTCATTTTCAGTGTCTGAGAAGTGACAGTTATCTGGAGAGCCTTTAAATATTTGTAATTTTCATGTTTAGAGAAAAGTTAGTTGCAAAATTCCACATGATCATTATCAGTAATGGATGTGTTGGTCGAAAGCTGGTTTTCATGTGTTTGCCATTCTATTGTACACATAAATTATTTTGCATATTTTTCATATTTACTACTGTATGAAATTTCAGGACGCTTCTGTGAATAGCACTAGAGGTAGAATATCACAGATTGAGAATGCAGTTTTCTGACAGAATACTGTGGAATAAATGGGTACAACGTTAGGTGTAAAATGTGGAACACCATTTCATATCTGTATGTCAAATTTACTGAAGCTTC